AACCCCCCCCCCCTTTTTTTTTTTGCTCAACAAGTTTTGCTATTTTTTGGGGTGGGGGGGGTTAGGGTTTCTCAAAAATAAAAAAGGGGGTGTGATGCTGAAAAGTTTGGGAATCACTGATCTAGAGAATGTATTTGGTATGTATAGAATCATTTAGGGTTTTTTTCCGCATCAGCCCATGCATGAAAGGATGCATCAAATCCCCATGACTAAGTTCCCACTAAGCTGCTGCGCCACTGCCTGTTAAGCTCTCCGTAGGGGCTCAGGGCTGCTGCGGGGAGAGGCGTGCCGTGGCCAGGGGAGAGGCACCTCTCCTCTAGCACAGAGCTGCTGATGCCTGGGGAGAGCACCTCTCCACCAGCATGGAGCCTCCCCCAGCGCCCACACCCCCAGCCAGCACACACACCCTTACCTCGACCCTCTGATGCGCCCTGAGATTCCTCCCGCATCCAGAACCTCTCATCCCCAGCCCAGAACCCTCCTCCCCACACACCCTAAACCTCTGCCACAGCCCTGAGCTCCCTCCTATGCTCTGAACCCCCTCAGCCCCACTAGTGCCACACATCATCCATGTGTGGAATGAATTTTCTTATGTGGCACCAGTACAAACATGATGTTTCACACAATACCTTCCTATTGGTGCATATAACATTTTTTATGTTTGTGTGCAAAAATGAATTAAGAAAAAACTACCCTACTGGTAGGAATTATCCCTAGGAATGAAAGGCTAGTCCATAGCCTGGGTTAATTCCTATTTTGGCTTTATAACAGACTGCCAATAAAATCATGGTTAGCAGATCTTCCTGTTAATATCTGAACTAACACAATTCACAAACGTGTATCTTTTCATACAAGAAGAATTTCAGAGAACTCACTGGAATCTACAACTACCCCCATTATGTCTCTTACAACTGTGTGGAAAACCTTGCTTATTTAGCTTTACATTCTTTTTACTTATTTACTCTGAGTATTCACAATACTAAATCCATCTTCTTCAAAGTGTATTTCAAGCACACTTTGATGTGTACAAAACTACAAATATGCAAGTTTTCACAGCCAACATCGTGCATGGACAAATCTCAGATTGGTACACAAACCTCATAAACTTACGCAAATCAAGCAGGTGGCCCTCTACTCAAATGATATGAGAAAATCAGCTACCACATGCCCGAAACCACATGGAAAGCAGCATGCAAAAGCTTGGGTGTCCAACTTAGAACTGAAAATTTCAGCGGCCAGAACTTGACAATGGACACTTTTGACTATTGGGCCCTGAATTTTATTTATAAATACAAACAAATATTATTTTTAAAAGCGTAATGAAATATTAAAGTTTTTCTCATCCCTAGTGACACAGACTATTACTCTGTACTCATTCCAATATGTTAGTTATCACGGAACAACAACAAAATGTGCCATAGACTCAAGTTATTTGGAATCTAAATCCAAAACTGAATAAAACCTGCATTTAATAATCAACAATCTTTACAGCAGATCACTATGGTTATTAAAAAATACACTTAAGTTCGTGAAAAGCCATAATTTCTCAAATACTTTGGTTGTTTAAATCAAACACCCAAAAGGTTCAAGAACACATTATAACCCAATGACCTACAAAAAGTTTTTAGAAGACAAAAGTGTGCTACTTATTCATAACAAAAAACCTTAAATAAAAAAACCAACAAACCACAAACAGCAGAAATTAGTAAGACCTTACTATCTGTCCTACACTTACTGTGCATTTAATGGAATTTTTTTAAAATGTACCTTAGTAAAAGGAAAGACAGGTACATTCCAAAGATAAAACTTTACTACAACTTTCAGCTTGGGGTTAATGTTCAGTCCTTAAAAAAAAGTACTTTAACATGGAAACTCTGAGTCAGACTTACCAGCACAAAGAGCTCTACTATCATTAAAGAAAGATCCAGAGGCACACAGTGTACAAACTCAATATGCACAGCACAACTGAAGTGGAAAAAGCTCTTTAACAGGCAAAGTTCTGTCTGTTCCCTGTCCCTAAACCTGGACAAAGTGTCAATTTCTATTTTGAAAGATATTGCAAACCTGTTAAAACTAGTCCCAAATATATCCAACACTTACCACTGCCTAATCTCAGAAGCAGCACATCCTGAAGTCTCCTGTTCAAGTCTCTGAGCTCTTTCATTTCTGACACTAATGCCCCATATTCCTTTAGCTTTTTTGCCTGTTGCACAAGCTGTCTCCGAGTTCTCTCAAGTTCTTGCTGAATATGTCTCATTTCTTCTTGTTGCTGTTGGTAATTCCTCAGCAATTCTTCATAAAGAACCCGAGGAACCACAGCATCGTCCATGTTGTTAATGCCTTCCGAAGTCTCCATAAAGGTTTCCTCAGGGCTGGAATTACTACTGAGACTCATCCCATTTTGCTTTTCTAGACGAGCAACAACTGCTTCAATGCTTTTGTGTGTACCTTCACTTTGTTTCCTTCCGTCTTGTCTCTGTGTGTCACAATAATACATAACATTAGCAGAGCAGGAACACAACACTCAACAGGAACTAAAACTCCAGCATTTGCACAATTAAGACTGTTTGACACACACACAAAAAAGTGGAAAAAAAAATGAAACACGGTCTGCCTTGCAAAAGAAAAAAAAAAGTTTATCTGAAAACATGTTTGTCAACAGTCTCACCATAACTGAACTCTGTGTGTAAGAACAGCTAAGTGTATATGCAAACATTAGGACATGCTGGAGGCCTTTCTTGGTTGCATTTGCCCAAAGTGGGAGTGCAAGTGGAACGTACTTTGGGGAGACCTTTTCTATTTATAAAAAATGGATCTGGGCTTCCTTTTGAAAGTCTGGCCCTTCACGTTTAGAATACACACACTTTATATATTTTTTTTCTGATTATATTTAATAGAGAAAAGGTTTCAATTAAGTATTTTGTATGTTATCCAACACTGTTGGGTATTTAAAAAACAAACTGAAGTATTGTCTATACATTTCTTCACCAGTATAAATAAGAGCAGTTTTAAGGCATTAAAACAGGGGTTGACAGAAGCACACCATTTGAAGGTATTTTATGAACTGAGGTCTTGTCCTTTCAAAGATCTTCCAGACAAACTTTCACTGACTTTTACCACCCCTGTGCATGCACGCACACACAACTTCCTCGTGAAAATAAAGGAGTTATGCTTTTCAAAAGCACTGGGAAGGGAATTAGAATAATAAATTAAAGAGAATATACAATTTAGTCCCATCCCCTCAATCAAGAAATTCCCTATATATTAGTACTGCATTGCAGACGTTTCATTTTCAGTGAACTTCTAAGTGGCAATTTACTTGTGCTCTTTCACGTAACAACCCAAACCATATACAATAAATGCATACTATTTTGTAAAGAGTCTGGGTGACAGCATTACCATTTATCAGTAAAGGCAAAAGGCACCCCTTTTTTTTCAACTGGCCAAATATAGGAAGAGTAGTTCAAATTTAAGTAACTGACAGGAAAACAAACCTAGCTTATGAGTTAAAGACAAGAAACTGATGCTATCAATTCCCATAACTTGTCCATGAGTAACATGGCAGACAATGAGATTATTCAATGTTATGCCTGTACCATGCATGATCTAAAAAATACTATCCCCCATAAATAAATGTACTAGCATGATTCCTGCAGCTAGATAACACGCGAAGCCACAAAGCAAGATCTCCCCCCGAGTAGACAGACTTTTAAATGAGAAATTACTTGAAAATAAAATAAAAAGGCACTGTTTTTGATATGTGGACCTGAGGGAACCATTGGCCTCTATATCAGAGGGATTCAGTTTTGTTAGTTTTTCTTCCAACCCAAACCTTTATTCAGGACTTTCATAGCACACTGTTCTATTTGAGACAAGCTCAGTACAAAAGGTTAAAAAATGCCACCCAAGAACAGCTGCTTAACAGCGATATAACTGGAGCAACCTTTAAAGTGCTCTGGGCCAAAGTGAAACAACATTGTTTCAAAAGTCTCTAACAGAAATTAAGTTATGCAGACTTGTACAAATAATGCTCAACTGCATGATCTGGATTTCTGAAAAGCCGATCTGTAAAGCAATTCAGAATTCTCATCCACAGCCGCTGTCCGCCAACTTGACCCAATTACATCAATACAGTATTTTAAAGGGATGGAAAGGCAGCCTGGAATTCTTCAACTATGACATGTGTGCATATGCCCCAAGCACTTCCACACAAACACAAAACACCGCCCCTCAAAAAAAAAAAAAAAAAAAAAAAAAACTTCAATACCTTACTGTGTCTAAGCTCCACATCTTCTTCCCCATAATCTGTAACCTCCCCAGCTTCTTCTATGTGATTGAGAGAGAGTTTGGGGATTTTAATTTTCTTCTGGATCACACTGTTTTCAAGGTCAGTTTTGTCTTCTAAAATGTATATTAAAAATAAAAATGTTGTTATGTTAATCAAAGTCTTCTTACTTCCCAATAGTGCATGATTTAGGCAAGACCAGTTAAAAAAAATTCCCATGCTTTACTCCCCTCAGTATTCAGTGGATCAAATTAATCCACTGTATAACTCCTCTGACACAATGGTGCTATACCTTAGCCATAATTTGGTGTAACTTGGTTATATACATGATTATGTATACTGAAAAAATTATTTTTAAAATGGCAAGTGTATGTGATAGTGATCAAATGCATTAATGAATAGCCATTAGTACTAAAATAAGAGTTAGAAAGATTTGATGCTGTAAATAATTCAACTCCCTAAGAACTACTTACATTTTTTAAATTACATTGATCACAATATCATATATCATTCATAAACTGCTATTGAGAGTTCATCTTGCTTAGGTCTAAAGTAAGTGTGAGTTTGGTAGTTTAACTGTAGGCCCTATTCCGCATTTGCCAATGGTACAAATCCAGCACATCGTCTGGCACATAACTGGCAGATTCTGCAATGCTCAGGAGAAGACCACAGCTGGAAAAACAGCAGGGCCAATTTGAGTGGCACTTGCAGAGAGCTATGTGCAGAGCCTGGCAGTAGTCACTGTATACCACTTCTATTTCTAGTTTATAGTACTAATCCCTTGATGTCAAAGCAGTGTTTCTCAACCAGCGGATTGCATGGTAGGTCTCAGCTGTGTACTGGATTCCTGACTGCACAGCGCGGAGGGGTCCAGGATGACCCGCCACCGAAGCCAAAAGGGTTGGAGCTGCTAGCTATTCCCAAGAGTCCAGGGCAGCTGCATGGTGGGAGTCCAGGATCAGGACTGCAGACCAGCCCTATGTGATGGAGTCTGGGGCTGCCATCTGGCCCCATGGGGTTGGTGTTTGTGCTAGGAATATGAAAGGTTAACCAGTGGGAGCTGAAGCAGTTCCCTGTCTGCCCCTGTCCAAGATGACCTGTGACAAAGTGGGGATTGTATTCACTCTGTTCACCTTGTTATGTTGCATGTGATTTCTACTGTCCTGTTGTAACCCTGTGTGTGTGCCTTAGTTTCCCTGGGCACCGCACCAATACCAGGGACGGGGGAGAGGTGTTACCACGTGACACATTTTGCCAGGAAGCCAGACAAAGGCTGGAGGAGAGACTGGTAGCAGGGCTGGGGAGGGCTTCTGAGTGGGTGAGTTAGTCTCGGTGGCTTGAGGTGTGGAGATGGGGGTGAGGACCCTTGGCTCTGAGCCCCCTCCTTCCCAAATGGACTGTACTGACTGCTTCTGGTTTCTGTGCTGACAAGTCTATTCTATACTGTATCCCTGGCTGAGAGTGACATCCAACTGTGGATGGGGATGCAGGACCCGGTGATGGGGCTCTGAAGGACCACAGGCAGAGGCTGCTCTGGCCAGCTGGAGAAGCCCATGACTGTGGCAGGGTGGCCACTCCAGCCCAGCTATGGTGGGGGTGGAGGGATACCAATTGCCAATGTGGATACCAGTTAAACAATTAAATGGGATTCTACATCCCTAGTTAGTGCTGTTTGCTGACCTGACGAGTTCTAGAGTCCAAGGCAGCCGTTCAACGGAAGTACGGGGTCAGGGTAGTCAGCAGGTGTCACAAATTCTGGGAGCCTGGGTAGCTAGCCAGTTCTAATCCAGTGAAGCTGCATGGAAGTAGGGAGGGGCTGGAGCAGCTGCCCTGCCTCATGGGGTCTGGGTTCAGGGTTTGTTTCTGGGCTAATGTTGCCTTGCCTTGCCATCAACCAGTTAACACTTTATGGCCTACATCTGCTGCCCACATGTGTAGTAAGTTGAGAACTGCTGTGTTAGATAAACAAAACCCAGACAATAAAAATGTATTTATTCCTGAGACCCAGAGATTAGCCTATATAAACAGAGTGATTTTACTGTTAAACATTTTTTTCAATTTTGAAGTATTCTACCCAAGATCCTAAAATATGTATGTTACATAGTTATTCTTTGGGACAAACTACAGCCAAATCCTAGCTTGTCAAAAAGTGCTTTAGGAATTTTAAAAATTATTGCAAAACAAATAAAGTCTATTGGTCCTCAACATAAAGTCAGTTACGGAAAGGAAATACATTCAGATTCTTAAATCGTGTATTATACTTGTACATTGGAAGACTATGAATAAGAAAGCATTTTGAGCCCTATTATCCACCTGCAAAGCATGATCCATTAAATGTCCCATGAATATTTTTGAAAGTGCCAATGTGGATACCATTTGTGTGTCCTTAATTACATAGACTTTCACTTTTTCAAAATTAGCAGATCCCCACAGGATCCCCAAATTGTTAGTGCTGACAGTGCAGAAAAGGGGAACAAAGGTAAATCACAGTTTAATGAGGAGCAAGGCATTCATTAGAAACAGACAAATGCAATTTATTTTGCTGCAAATAGAAATGGATTTCTTGTAAGCAAATGGTGATACTACAGCCCAAGGCTATGTAAAGAAGATTCAACAACCAAGAGAACCTGAAATGAAATTCAGATGGTAGCAACAGATACCAAGACAGATGCAAGAAAAAGGGAAGAAGCAGCGCAAAAAAAATTGTAGGCCTTATTTACATCTCTCTCCATTGCCCAGTATATTTGAATGCCTATAACATTTTAAATGAAAGACTAACTGATAGGTTTGGAAAAATCATGTCCGAAAACTGTACAGAAGTAAAAGTAAAGTGGTCTATCCATCTTGTCAGAGAGTAGAAAGTTGGATAGACTTGTATAAGATTGAAGAAAAAGAGAGTTTCGAGTGGTAAGAAGAGAGGTGGAGGAGTACCGATTATCTCCTTGCAAGCAATTATCAAAAATTAAAATCAAAACAATTGTGAATCCAGTGTTGGTGAAAGATATTAGATTGAAAACTCTTGTGCAAAGTGTTATTTTTGTGTACTATAGGTATTGCATTAACAAACTGCAGAGCAAGTTCTTCTACAGTGCCTAGCAAATACATTTCAAACTAACCTGGAAGAGAGCCCTTTTCTGGAGCTGGAAAATAGAAAGCAGTCTTCACAGACCAATCAGATTCTTGGTCCAGGAACAAGACTAATGCAACCCATTCACTTCACCTAGGTTATGAAAGACATCTGATGTAATTTTCAGGTCATTACCAATCTGAGCCACATGTGACCTGGAGACACGGAGGTAAAATCTCCACTATGTTTCCACAAACAGTTTTTCACTGTCAATACGGTTCCTTTCAAATTCTGCAATTTGGTTTTCTACCTTTTGATTTTGGGGCCTGTCTTGTGAAAATTACTAGAGACTAGTCAGGTATGTTGAAGAAAATAACTCGCATTCTCCTACACCAAACTTTTGGAAATTATGGGAAGAAACAATGGAAGTATAATTTAAAGCAACAGTTAGGACATTTTAATTTATTCAGCTAGCCATAATTTATCTTATGCTCCACTAACTTGGCAGCTGCAGAACATATAATACCGTCTTACGGTTTGTAACTGGTAACAAAATAGGAATTTTACATCGATATGCCCCAGTCACATGTGGATCAGACTGGTAGTGATTAGAAAGTTATATATGATGACTTTAATAACCTATTAGGGATGTGAACCACTAGTCGGATAGTCAACACACAAGTCGACTAGTTGTTTCCTCCCCTCTTGCTGCCTGTATCAAGAAAGGGGTGCTTCAAAGCAGCAGTGCCTCATGGAGCTGGGGTGCTGCCGCTTTGAAATACCACACGCAGTCCAGAGCCAGCTGGGGAGTCCCCAGGGGTGTTGCTACACTTCAAAGCCGGAGGCATCCTTATCGACTAATTGAATGGTCGATCCAAATTGCATCAACTATTCAATTAGCCGATTATTCAAAATGTAACATCCCTATAACCTATGTAAAGTGAATTAATACAATTTATCCAGTGTTTTAGATTTGAATTGGCTTTTCATTTATTAAACAAACATGTTTATTCCACACTCTCTTTCTTACTTTTCTGTGGCCTCTGAAACAAAAAGCCTCATGTTCAAATTTGGGATAATGCAGAAATATTGGTTCCAGGCCCTGAGCAATGTAGGAAAGGGGCTTGACTTTGGGCCCCCTAAAGGGATGGGGCCTCAGGCAGCAGGTGCAAGGCAAAAGGGCAGTCAGTCCTCAGTTGCAGCCTGGTTCACATGGCATAAGGCTCTAACAGCAATTTAAAGGGCTCAAAGCCCTTCAAATCTCCAGACTTTGGGCAAGTGTGCACCCCCCCATTTCACTGTCAGAGGCCCAGACTGCCTCTCATGGTGTGCATACATGTCTTTGAAACAGTTCTCTTTTAGGATATGTCTAAACTACATCCCTCTTTCGAAAGAGGGGTGTAAATTAGGCAGATTGAAAGTGCAAATGCAGCGGGGATTTAAATATGTCTTGCTTCTAGACTCAGTTCTTTAGGAAAAAAAAAACAAAACCTTTTTCAAAAGATCCTGTACTCCTAAGGGTTTTTTTCCCCTGAAAGAACTGTGTCTAGATGGCACTTTCACTGTTGAAAAACCCTTTTTCGAAAAAGCGCTCAGACGCCATTATGCAAATGAAGCACAGGATATTTAAATCCCTGCTTCATTTGCACTTTCAATCTGCCTAATTTACTTTCAAAAGAGAAATGTAGTTTAGACATACCCTAAGACTCTAGTTTCACTACTCCTTTTGTTTGTTTGGATTCTATTCAGGTTCCTAAGACCTCAGTTCAATGCCAGCCTATGTCACCAAGGGTATGTCTACACTACCACCCTAGTTCGAACTAGGGTGGTAATGTAGGCAACCGGAGTTGCAAATGAAGCCCGGGAAATTCAAATCCCGGGCTTCATTTGCAACCCCGGTTGCCTACATTACCACCCTAGTTCGAACTAGGGTGGTAATGTAGGCAACCGGAGTTGCAAATGAAGCCCGGGATTTGAATTTCCCGGGCTTCATTTGCAACTCCGGTTGCCTACATTATCACCCTAGTTCGAACTAAGGTGGTAGTGTAGACATACGCCAAGGTATCTGCATTTGGCAGTGTTCTGCAAACTCAGATGGTGAGAGGGGAGGAAACAGATGCAGACTACTGTGTTGTGCTAGGTTAACCTGCACCGGGGACAGGTGCAG